CCAAGAACTGCAAGGATATGCAATTGTGCACCTATGTGTACAGAAGCTGGGGTTCTCCTATGACCAGAGGTTCTAAATTTTAGCTTGTATCAAAACATCTGGTGAAATTGTTAAATCTCAACACCTAAAGTTTCTGATTTAGCAGCCTGGAAAAGAAGCAGAGAATCTGTATTATTTCTAAGCAAGCCAATATACCACCATCTGCACTCTATTCTTGACCTAATGATATAGATTGATATTCTAAGCTCAGTGTCCTAGAGATTCTGCCTCAAAGTAACTTGGAGAAAAGGGATTTTTTATTATAAGGATATTATAGTTTTAGGAAATTTAAGACATTTCTGAATATTTTGTTTTCCTCTCAATTTTATTATTTTTTCACTCTATTATTTTTTTCTCAATTCTTTTAGGGGGCAGGGTTTACATTGTTCTTCTTAAAAATACTTAAGCTGAATAATTTGCTCATTTATTCTCAACTCTTCAGCTTCATCTTAAACAATACACAATTTTCAGTATATCTTAATGTATATATTAGTAATTGTAAAAATTCTCAGTATTCAATGATCACCACTTATTTGGGAGGTAATCTTGGACATTATTTATGTTTGAGAATGCATTTTTTTCACGTTTAAACCTCATGTTTTCAACAAACTTATTAATGCTAACAGAGGAAAAAATAATCTATTAGGGTAAGTTGCTAGTTCCTATAAGTTAAGGCAAACTATGAATCATAATAAGTTATTTTAAAACATTATTTCTCCCAAATTTCCAGAAATTGATAGAAACATTTACCTAGAAAATTTCTTTATTTTCCTTACTGTAATTTTTTTCATTTATTTATAAAATTAAAAATAGTGCAGCCATGTTAATGACATAATCAAACAGTACTTAATGATTTTAGGTAAAATATCTTCCTTCCATTTACTCTCACTTCCAGACCCAGTATCCAAATATACTCATGCTTTGCTATTTCCAATTTTTACTTCTGATGATTATTAATATAATTAGACATGTTGTAATTTTTTTTCTTTTTCTTTCTTCACTTCTTACCATATGACATTTATTAACAAGAAACAATATAGTTGAGAAATGTAATTAACACTTCTCATTCCTTCCCTCTTGACTTTGCTGTTATTTTTGGTTTTCCTTTTGTTTATTTAACTTTAAGTAAGACAATTAAAACTCCACTGCTTATTTCACCAACTGTAGATGTTATTTGGAGAGGATTTTAATTTACATGGCTAATTACCGAAACTAAAACTTTCATGGATTAGTAACTTGGCAGCTCTACAGAAACAAGGAGAGTAAAGGTGGTCAGATGGGACACCTCAATATTGCAGGGTTGTTTTTTTTCCACACTTACCACTCTATAGAAAAACTCACATTTTACTTTTTAAAATTGCAAATAGGAAACTTAGGTATTTCAAATAGTCAGAAACTATTTGGGATTTTCGGGTATATTCTGACCATAGGAAGCAGATTAGGACTACAGAAAATACTCAGAATTGAAATCCTTTCTCAGAGTCTTGAGTAATGCCACACTTTTGAAAAGATGCCATATATTTCATTAGCTTAACTGGGAATAAAGGAGCTTAACTATAAATTGACTTTGGCTGATAAAAATATATTCCTTTAACATAGAACTAGGAACAGTTGGCTAATACTTAATTCTTATTTCAAACATACATATTTTGACGAGGCTTAGACTTTTTCAGTTTAGGAATGAATACAAGTAATATATGTGAAGAGAACCAACCATTGGGAAGTTATGTGTGTGTGTATGTGTGTGTCCACGCATAAAAGAGAGAAAGATGAAGAAAGTGTGCATGAGGGAAATGAAGCAGGGATAAGTTTAGTGAGTGTTTTGTTTGTATGAAAGAAACAACAATTAGTTGGGTGTAATGAAGTTACTTTGATATTGATTTGATATTTTCATGTTTTTGAATTCACAGTTAGAGAATAGAATATTAGTTAAGTTGCTCCTACCAATAGTTGATTGTTTTCAGAAAAGTATGGTTAGTCTTTAGAAAGCGTGCTAGTGAACTTGAAAACCCCTAAGATTTATATAGTATCTAAATTATTGGTCAATAATCATCCTTAATTGTGATTATTCTCATGAAAATAAGTATTGCACATGATAGTTTAATATCAGTATTCTTTTTAGCATTTCAACAGTATGCATTTATACTGAGAATTGAAACTATTGCTTTTGCAAGACATAAATGATGGATTTCAATGTTCTGTCACTTGAAAAGAAATAATATGAAATATCATTGAAGTATTTCCTCAGAATGTGAAGTTGTCAGATACTAAGAGAGATTTTTATTTTCCTTTAGAATTACCACTTACATATTGGGGCCCAGGGTTGCAAAAATTTAAAGTGGTGTTTCCCAAAATATGTTCTAAAGATATTAGTTCAAAGAGATGTTAATAAATGTTTCTAGCAATTGTACACACAATGCCATGTCTTTAGGGAGTCATTACACAAATTAGCATACTTAAGTCTCTGAGAAGATCTTCCTTGCTTTAGATCAACTTTTTAACACTTTATTTCTTACCATGATTCCCAAATTGATCTGTACAAAAATATTTTCATTTATCCAACATATATATTATTGCTTTTTCATTCTTCATTTTTTTCCAACATACAGAGTATTCATATAGGAGTTAGTAAATTGTGTGTCACTTACTTCCTTTTTAAAATAAAGTTTTATTGAAACATTTATGCCCACTTGTGGCTTTTATGCCATAATGGAGGAGATGAGAGACTGCAACATAAACTTATGGCTGACAAAGTGTATATATATTGCTTATCTGGTTCTTTTCCAATAGGAAAAACTTTTTACAAGTGTTGATAGCAAAATAAAATACCACTGGACATCAAATTGGGAAACACCAGCTTACAATACCTATTATAAATTTTGAAGACCATTATAAATTAAGTACTTATAACTACATAATATATAACTAATTTTTTCATTGTTATTTATGTATTTTTAAATTTGTTCTAATTATACATGATAGCAGAATGCATTTCAATTCGTTGTCCACAAATGGAGCACAACTTTTCATTTCTCTGGTTGTACATGATGTAGATTTGCACCACATGTGCATTCATACACATATATAGGTAATGATATTTATCTTATTCCACCATCTTCCTACCCCCATATCCCCTCCCCTTCCCTCCCTCCCCTTTGCCCTATCAAAGATTCTCCATTCTCCCCATGCCACTGCCCACTTCGTCATTATGTGTCAACATCCACTTTTCAGAGAGAACATCCAGGCTTTAGTTTTTTGGGATTAGCTTACTTTGCTTAGCATGATATTCTCCAACTCCATCTGCAAATGCCATAATTTTATTCTATTTTAATGTTGAGTAATATTCCATTGTATATATGTACTACAGTTTCTTTATCCATTCATCTATTGAAGTGCATCTAGATTGCTTCCACAGTTTAGCAATAGTGAATTTTTAAGTCCTTAGGGTATAGACAGAGGAGTGGGATAGCTGGGTCAAATATTGGTTCCATTCCAAGCAGGACTCTCCATACTGCTTTCCATACTGGTTGCACCAATTTGCAGTCCCACCACGAATGTATAAGTTACTTTTTCTCTACATACTCACCAACACTTATTGTTGCTTTTATTTATAACTGCCATTCTGACCAGAATGAGATGAAATCTTAGAGTAGTTTTGATTTACATTTCTCTAATTACTAGAGACGTTGAACATTTTTTCATATATTGTTATATTTGTTGATTGATTGTATATCTTTTTCTGAGAAGTGTCAGCTCAGCTCCTTAGTGCATTTATTGATTGTTTGTGTGTGTGTGTGTGTATGTGTGTCTGTTAAGTTTTTTGAGTTCTTTATGGACATCAAATTGGGAAACACCAGCTTACAATATCTATTATAAATTTTGAAGACCATTATAAATTAAGTACTTACAACTACATAATATATAACTAATTTTTTCATTGGCGATTACTGTCTATCTGATGTGCCTGTGGCAAAAATTTCCTCCCAAAATGTAGGCTCTCTCTTCACCTCATTGATTGTTCTTTTGCTGAGAACAAGCTTTTTAGTTTGAATCCATTCCATTCATTGATCCTTGATTTTATTTCTTGCACTTTATGAGTCTTATTAAGGAAGTTGAGGGCCTAATCCAACATGATGAAGATTTGGGCCTACTTTTTCTTCTAGTAGATGTAGCCTCCCTTGTCTAATTTCTAGGTCCTTGATACACTTTGAGTTGAGTTTTGTGCATGGTGAGAGATAGGGAATTAGTTTTATTTTGCTGCATACGGATTTCCAGTTTTCCCAGCACCATTTGTTGAAGAGGCAATCTTTTCTCCAATATATATTTTTGGTGCCTTTGTCTAGAATGAGGTAAATGTTTTTTATGTGGGTTTATCTTTGTGTAATCTATTCTGTACCATTGGTCTAAAGTCTACTTTGATGTCTATACCTGCTATTAACTAATTTTAATAATATAAAACTCAAATAATGTGACTTTGATATGTATCAATGTCAATTCTTTTGAAACTATTAGAATGCAGGTGAACTAATTAATGCATATTTTTGAAGTTTATCAAATTAATGTAATTTATATAAAAATGTAAAGAAATATTTAGGATGGAGACAATATAAACATTTCAAGTATTTTCTAAAGCAGAAAGAAAAACTTCATATCAGAACATTTTATAGCCTTCATCTTAAAAAACACAACCTCTATAAAATTTAAGGATGTATTATAATCATCTTTTCTCATTTTCCCCATATCAAATTCTATGTACAGATTACTATGTCTTTTCATTTTTAATTTTCAGGCACCTTGCTTCCTCTTCATATTCAAAGTTAAGTATTGTAAGGTCTAAAACCATGAGTCCTAACATATATTTTAATTACTAGATCAGATGCTCTATAGGTGGCCAGACTAAGATGTCAATTCTTTTGAAAGTATTAGAATGCAGCTGAACTAATTTCTGAATTTTTTTCTAGGAAGAACTGAACCCCATTGTTGTTACTCCACCAATCCAAGCCATTGATCAGGACCGGAATATTCAGCCACCATCAAATAGGCCCGGAATCCTCTATTCCATCCTTGTTGGTGCGTATTTCTAATGTTTTATATTATCAGTAATCACTGTAGAATTATGATGAAATACTTTCAAACCAAAGAAAATCCTTTTAATGATAAAGTTTCTTATATTGAAATTGATTGTTGCATTTATATATAAAAATTTAGATGTAATAATATAAAAGTCTTTCTTCTTCATAGTTTTAGAAAAATATATTTAAAAATTTAAAATACTTTTACAAATGGAGCAAAATAAGTCGTTAACACATTGGTAGTTTTATCCATCACATCTCATAAAGTGTTCTTTAGGAAAATTTTTTAAAAATCAAAGGAAATCATATTTTTTGTTCTACTTATATCTTGCCATTGATTGGACACTATATAGGATTCTGATAAAATACAACTGAATTAAATAATGACAATTTTGGAGACATATGGGAGAAGGAATAAGATCATGAGTACCCTAAGGGTTTATGATGCATTATATGCTTGACAATTTTTCTTGGAAAAATTCAAGAAAAGGTATCCTAATTCATATATATATATATATATATATATATATATATATATATATATAATTTTGCAAAAAAGAAAAAAATGATAATTTGATTATGCTATTCTTAAACTTCTTTTGATAAACTATGCATGTTGCTGATTTACATGGTTTTTAGGTTTTAGAGGAAAAGATGCATTAAAGATGAACCACACATCTCTTAAGAAGGCCTGCTTTTAAATTGTGCTTGGAAACTAACTTCAGTGGAGTTCAATACTCCCTTTAAATTTTATTGTCCCCTGGACTCACAGCATGTGTGCTTATGTTCATGCACAACGACCAGTAGAAATTAGACAGATTCTATACTATTATACCATGTTGTGCTTAAAAATTCTATCTGTAAATAAATTCAAGTAATTCTGTTAAAATCTTTTAGTATTTATTTCTTACAAATGTAAGACTCTTTTAAGTTTATAGAGGTTTTTATATAGATAACAGGAAATAATGTTTATTTCATTAATTGAAGGCTTGGTAATATCGCGATCAATATGCTAAATGCAGTACACTCAGAGATGAGAGATAAAATGTTCTAGGTTAGGAAGAGGAGGAATTTGAGGATAGTAATATGTCAAAAAGTAAATTAAAACACATTGCCTCATGGTAATATAAATATAATTTGAACCACATATCCTGTGGTTTCATGAGAAGGCAGTATTGAACATTTCTAAAAGGATTGTTTTGGAAAAGTCATTTCAGCAGAAAAATTCTGGTTTCCAGTTGAAAATGGAAGAAAAATATCTAGGTAAATTGTTTAGCATATGCAAAAGATAAAGGACAAATTTTAAAAATAGACTAAGAGAACAATTCTATTTAAAGTGGACTATCATTGAACGGCATTCAAAGATTTTTTCAGTTTAAAAAATTACATTTGTATTGTGTTTCAGAAAATCAGCATCCAGTGTATGATGTAAGGCAGTTCACTATACAATACACATAGAAATACACAATAGAGCACAATACACAATAGAGAAAAAAGTTAATGCTCAATGTATAGTAGTTGGTGATGTTATTATCATCAGAAAAAAAGCATATTGTCTAAATCATATCAAACTCATGAGTAGAAGCACACAAACAAAAAACACTTACCTGATCAAAGAGTATTTCCTTAGGTCTGCTTTCATTTAGTATGTAAAAACCCTTGATTTTTCTTAAGTCCTTTCAAATAATTGTGAGCATATGTCTTCCTCATGGCTAGCCCTTGGTTACCATGTAGAGGGCTCCTGTCCTGCTTCAAGACCTTATAGATAGTTTCTGTATACTAGATGTGAAGATACAGATGTTGATGTCTGGTAAGGTCATGTAAGAATAATTGTTGGCCTTACTATCATTAAAATCAATGGTGGAATTATTACCACTGAAACTGATCACTGCAATCTAAGTCAACTTTGCCACCTTGGTTTGTTATTTTCTATGGTGTGTTTAATGACATTTTGTGCAAAATAAACAATGCAGGGATGTGATTCGTAGGGCTAATCAAAGTGATAGATATTAGAATAATAATTTATAATTACTCCTTGCTTTAAAAATTGGGTCTTAAAAATTTTTTCTCCTAATAAGTTGAATTTTTTAAGGGGTAATTGAAACTCTGATTGACACCCAATCAATGGCCTTATCCAGCCTAACTATTAGGATGATTGGAATATATACTGCAGGAAGAAATTTTACAAAAAACAAAACAAAACAAACTCTAATGATAAATACAGATTTTCTGAATGAACTATAAATTTCCATAAAGCAAACATAAATTTAGATGGGCTGGACTGGTTTTTTTTGGGTATTTATGATTTCAAAAACATCAAATTATAAATTTAAGAAAATTCCTCACTATTGTTTTACTCAGTACTATACATTAAAGTCACTATGGTTATGAGATTGGATGATAATTTTTAGTCATTTAAGGATATATTTCATATATATTCAGCATAAATAGTCAAGTAAAGATCTCTGAAAATTTACTGCTCACTACCATTTGAATGAATGTTCCACAAACATCCCTATGTATAGACTTGGTCCCTTGTGTTGTAGTTGGAGGTTCTGTGGACTCCTAAGAACTTCATAGGTTTGTTCCTAGGCCATAAGTATGTCCTTCAAAGTTACTGTTACCACTAATTTCTTCCTCTTTCTGCTTCCTGGATCAAGATCTGAGCACTAGCTCTGACTTGGTCAGGCAACACTATCATCTACTATCCTCATTAGGGGCCTAAACCTGGGGTCATCCAACATTGGACTTAAACCTCTGAAATTGTAAGCTAAGGTTATTTCCTTTTGGAGACTCAACATGTTGGCGGGCACGGAGGCAGCGCTTTCAGTACCTCCTCAGCCACACAGACAGAGAGACACATCAGAACGTTCGGATTCTACCTGCTGAGAAACTCCCAGCAAAATTCAGCTGAAGTGAGACCTAGCTGGGGAATTTGGGATTATTTGAGATGACAGCTTGCTCAGGACGGGTGAATCTTGGCCACCCTGTGCGGAGATCCTGGCTGCCGCCGCTGCCTGGCAACCAGCGCAGAAGGAGGCGTTTCAGCACTGCCAGATACTGTGTGCAGCATAGAGACCCTATGAAGAGGTTGCTAACCAAGCCTTCATGAAACAGCGGACCAGAACTGAAACCGAGACTGGAACAGACCAGAGACAGGCAAAACCCACCCCTCCCATTGGACACTCCGGCAAGGAGTCTGGGGCCCGCCATAGCAGAGAGCTGACGTCACCAGAGTTCTGTGGACGGGATCCCTTCCCAGTGGAATCGGCTTTAGCAGGTGTGTGACTCCCATCCCCACCAGATACATACAGCTGGGAAACCTCAAAAATCTCGCCCCAGAGCTCTGTGGGTGGAACTGTAGGGGCCAAGGGAAGCAGAGGGGACTCCCGACCCCCAAGTCCCCTTACCACCAGCGGTGACTCCCAAGGCCTTAGCTGCCAGCTCCCAGGGGTGTGGCCACAGAAGGGATCCAGACAAATTAAACTGACTGTGTGAGCGGGGCCTGGCTGTCTGGCAGGAGGAAGGGGGGGAGGGGCCTGAGAAGAGAAATGGCTCTGGACTAACAGGATTGGAGAGATGCCCAGTAGGGGAAGAGAAGCCTGCCGACACATAGAGGGCAGAAGCTCAGCTCAGAGGGCACAGCTCCGCCTACTGGAAGAGAAGAAAATAGAACTCTAAGACTTCATTTATCTTTTTTTTTCTTCCCCTTTTCAATTTTTATTGTTCTTTCCATTCTCCTTTATTCTACCCAACTTTCTCTCTCTCTCTCTCTAAGGACTCCTTCCTTCCCCTTCCCCCTAATTTTCATCCAAAGCATTACGACTTTCATTACGTGTAATTTTCTAAATGCAAATAGGTGAATGTTCTGAGGCTGTCTATAGGGCTCCTAAGTACCTAGCTATTACCAAATACCCTGATCCATTCACCTGTTAATATCCCCCTTCAGTGGAGCAATCTTCCAAAGTAACCAAGACATACTAACCTTCATAACATCATAGCACGCAACCTAAGCATAAAGTCCTAAGACCAAGCAAAAGATCACTATATGCCTACAGAATCCGTAAGCCTTTTATGAATCGAATGAATCAGCATTAAATTAAAATAAAGCTCAACATCTCTAGACATAGTCAACCACCACAAAGGAGAGACCACAGAGATATACAAAACCAAAACAAATTTATAGGAGAAAACAGAAACACAGTGCCGCAGTCTGGCTGGGCACAAAATCACGAGCCACTCAAGCAGGAACAAACTTTATTTTTTGAAACTGCCGCCAATGCCCCGTAAGCTCCCGGGAAGATTGCCTATCGATGCACGTGGCGTTCTCCCAGCTCCCCAGAACCCAAGAGGAAGTTCCTCCTCCGGAATTCCCTCCTACTGCACTTCCCCAACCAATGGGAACTCTTCAGGAGTCCTGTAGCAGGCCGAGGTGGACAGCAGGAGTCCAATATCCATATGAATGCAAATCTTAACATAATCATATCATCTCAATGGCTTGCTGGCATCACCTTTCAACCAAAAACGCCATGCATCATATTACTTGGCTGTGGCTCTTAGCAACACAGCAGTTAAACAGAGTTGGAAAGTAACGTGAGCACCATGAAAAAAACAAGGGAAAAAAGGATTACAAACAATGCAGGACAACTTAAATTTACAGGAGAAACCTAGAGGCATCAGAAAAATGGACAGAGAAAGAATTCAAGTCATACCTGACTCAGATGGATTGGAATCTTAAAGAAGTCATTAGACAGCAAGTCCAAACAATGAAAGAATACTTTGAAAATGAATTACATAAGCAGATTCAAGAAGCAAAAAATGAACTCTATCAGGAGATAGAGATTTTTAAAAAATCAAACAGTAATCTTAGAAATGCAGGAAACCATAAACCAAATCAAAAACTCAAATGAGAATATTACAAACAGACTAGATGAAATAGACGTCAGAACATCAGATAATGAAGACAAAGTTTATCAACTCGAAAAGAGTATAGTCAAC